CAGCCGCGGCTGTATTGTGCATGTGCTAGAAGAGCATTTCTAGCACATATGCAGGATTTTCTCATGTGTGTGTGAATGGCAAATACGGTTCCCGGGAGTGCTTTCCTTAAAAGCGCGATCAAGGTAAGTGCGTGTGATAGCCATTTGCGTATTGTGGGGTTTCATCCGGTTTATTACTGGATTCATTCTTATTTCACTTTGTTATCGCTTTGTGGGCCGCGTGTGATAAGGTCCTATGATAGGTTTGCCTTAGGGTCGCCATATGTCCAAAATGACTTGGAGGCACACAATTGCAACTACAATAAACAAACAAAACTATAGGAAGCACCTCAACTAAAGGAGCATATTTTTTTGTCTTGCTAATGGAACTTAATTTTTAAAAATGTCCTGGAGTACTGACATGGCCAGAACAAGGGGGGGCCTTCCTGCATGAATTTCCCTCAAGTACCACCTGAACTGAAAACAGACACATCTTAACAAAATGCAGGCTTGTGACTAACATAATTTCCCCCCTGCTGTATGATTTTTAACATCTTTGTCTAATGAAGAAGCCAGTGGAGCTTCAAAAGTTTTCAACATGTATTTTGTGCATAAAGGGTATCACTATTTTGTGGATTTTTGATGTTATTGTAATTTGCTATGCAATCTACACAGCTACTCCTGGAAAGGAAACATAGGGGGGAAGCAGACGAGGGCGTCCGGGACGCCCTGGGACGGAGCGCCGCGGGACCGCGGCATCCGCACCGAGGCGCACCATCGGCGCCTCTGAAAGGAGCGCTAAATCAGCGCTCCTTTCACAAGTCAGTGAAAGTGCGCCCTAAAAGCGTAGGGCGCACTTTAACTGACTTTTCTGCCGCAGCGTGTGCGGACGCTGCGGCGGGAGGTTGCCCTCGGAGCGCTGGCCGTGCGGAGGGCCGGCAGCTCCGAGGGCAACCTCAGGAGGAGGAAGGGGCGCCAATCGTGCGGCTGCCCCTCCTCTTCCTTGCCTCGGAGACGACTCTATTAGTCGTCTGCCGAGGCCCTTTGTCTCACAATTCCTGAATTCATCCAGGAATGACTGAAAGACTTAAAAGAGTATTAGGTTGGCTGGTTGGGACAGCTGATAAGGCAAGGCCCTCCAGATGTTGTTGGAATGCAACTCCTAGCATAGAATCATAAGAGTTGGAAGAGACCTCAAGGGCCATCCAGTCCAACCCCATTCTGCCATGCAGGAACTCAAAATCAAAGCACTGATAGATGGCCACCCAGACCATGTTTAAAAATCTGTAAAGAAGACTCCCTACACCAGGGACAGGCAACCTTTTTGAGACCTGGGCCGGTCTCCCGTAGCCCAGGTCTCGGCTGGGCCGAGGGGGGGGGAATGGCAGCGTGCGTGCTCGCTCGTGTGTGCGCCCTCCGCTGACGCGCACGACCCCCCCGTGCACACCGCCGCCGCTGCCGCTGCTGCAGCGCATATCACGGCTGCCATTTTGAAAATCAAAATGGCGGCCGTGACACGTTTGCACATGCGCAGGAGTATTGCGCATGTGCAAACGCATCACGACCACCATTTTGATTTCCAAAATGGCAGTTGCAGCGCACGCGGCCGCACAGAGGCAAAACGTGCGGCGGCGGTGGCGGCAACTTTCGGCCTGGGCTGGTAAGTCCAGGGACCTGGGCCTTAACTGGCCCCCGGGCTGTAGGTTGCCGGTCTCTGCCCTACACTCTGAGGCAGCGTATTCCACTGTTGAACAGCTTTAACTATCAGGACGTTCCTCCTAATGTTTAGGTATTTAATGTTTAGGTGGAATCTCTTTTCCTGTAGTTTCAATCCATTGCTCCATGTCCTATTCTCTGGAGCAGTAGAAATCAACCTTGCTCCATCCTCAATGTGACACCCCTTCAAACATTTAAACAGGTCTGTCGTATCACCTCTCAACCATCTCTTCTCCAGGCTAAACATCCCCAGCTCCCTAAGTCTCTCCTCCTTTGGCAAGGTGTCTTGGCTGGGAGTGCTGAGAGTTGCAGTCCAGCAACATCTGGAGGGCTGCAATGGGTCTCAGCTCTGTCCTAAAGCAACTTCAGGGGAAGAGGGAGATTGTAGGGCAGAAGGGGGAGGGAAGCAAGGACTTTACCAGATCTGAGCTTCCGCCACGAAGTTGAGTTTGTTTTTCTGTGACATCCCAGACCCTGCTCCGTGGCAAACACTCCCTGGCAGGTGGGTAGAGGATGGGTGCCACCTGAGGCTGGGCTGTAGCCAGCCACCAGGCAGCTAGAACTGTCCAGCTCTGAGCCAAAGCAGCTGTGGCTTTGTGTTGCTAGGAGACAGCAAAGGAATGGCCTATGCCTTGGGCCTGCCAGGACAGGGATGGATGGGTGGTGGTGGTGGTTGTCATGTGTGTGTGTGTGTGTTTGTGGAAGGCATGCCTCAGTGACCATCCCTGTACAAAACAACTGAGCCTTGTGATACCTTAAAGGAGAGTTCCTTACAGGAACTTCATCTCCCAAAGTCCCCAGTCTGTCTGGTCAAGCTGCCTGGGGGATTCTGAGAGTTGTAGTGCAAAACCCAACATTTCCAAGCTCTGCTTTCAAAACTAACAAACAAGATGTTATTCAGGCATAGACGTGCTGGCCATATTTTGTTGCTGTTGGGGTTATTCAAATGGTGACAATAATCTAGGAAGCTTATCGCACTCTTACATAATACGACCTACCTGATCCGGTTTAAAATTTAAAGCGGGTGGCATCCTGATATTATCAGAAGGATTTAGCCGTCAAAATCATCACTCGGGTCCATCCTCGCTCCCAGGGGTGCTCAGCGCGCCTCTTTCCAAAGCCGGGAGTTTTCCGGCTTAAGAAAATGGCCGCCAGAGTGGCCCTGGGAGTGGGGATGGACCTGGGTGATGATATTGGTGGCCAAATCCCTCTGATAATATCAGGATGATACCCATTTTAAATTTTAAACCAGATCAGGTAAGTTGTATTATGTAAAAGAGTGATAAGCTTCTTCATAGAACCTGGGCTGAATTTTTATTGTTCAAAAGGCTTAATTCAGATGGTGTAAAAGTTTTTCTAGGGGACCTGGGATAATCGATGTTGGGTTTTTTTCTGAGTTTTTCGATGCGAATATGATGAAACTCTGCATGCCTTGAATGTGCTCTGAATACATTTGCATCATCAAATCCATCTTTATTCGAGTGCTGACATGTGTGAGCAACTGAACTCGCAGAGATGCACATAGATGCAGTTCTATAGTGTGAACAACAAACCTGAAATGTATGAGTGAGATTATTTGGATCATTGTGCCAAAAAAACCCCAATGTGTGAATTACCCCATTGTGTGCTTTGAAGTTGTTTATGACAACCTGAAGGAAAACCCATCACAGGGCTTTCTTGGCAAGATTTGTTCAGAGGAGGTTTGCCATTGTCTTCCCCTGAGGCTGAGAGCATGTGACTAGCTCAAATTCACCCAGTGGGTTTCATAACCAACTCAAGAATCAAACTCTGATTCCAGAGTCCCATTCCAATGCTCAAACCACTACGCCATGCTGGCTCTCAGTGGCCACATAGCAAAGTGCAATAACATCCAAAATCTGCAAAACAGTGATACTTTTATTGCCAGCCACAAATACACCAACAGCATCTTGAGAAAATGCAAGACTGTGGCTATAATTTTATATTTCCCCCCAACCTATATGATTCTTCACACTTTTGCCTGATGAAGAAGCCATTGGAGCTTCGGAAGTTTGTGTCATGTATTTTGTGCATATTGGTTGGTTGAATAAAGGTATCATTGTTTTGTGGCTTTGGGGTGTTATAGATGTTATGGTTATGGACTTTTCCAAAATAAATTTGTTATTAAGCGTGGCTTCATCCTCCTCCTCTTCCTATTCCCATCTTCTTTCTTCTCTTCTTTGAAAGCTCACAACATGTATTTTGTGCACTTTGGTTGGCCCAATAAAGGTATGGCTAGTTCATGGATTCTGGATGTTATTGTGCTTTGCTATGTGGCCAACTCAGCTATCCCTGGATATATTCTTCTTCTTCTGTTTCTGATATTCGTTTGGAAACCATGGAGTCCTATCACGCCTTAAAGACTAAACAAGTGTATCTGTTTGTTCTGTCTTGCAGTTGTTTTTGCAATGTGGTTACCTCCTTTGGGAATGGTCCCTCTGGAAACTATTTATCTTCACCCACACAAGCATCACAAGGTACAAAACAATGTTAAGAAATGCTGTGCGGAGCCAAATCTCAGTGTACAAGTGCATATGCTGTTTAAGAATTCAGACTCATCCCCATCTCCCAACATTTTATAGATGAAAACACTGTCTGTTTCTAATAGCATGGATAACAACCTGAATCAACCATACCCTCATATTTACACATTTGCTGAAGGCTGCAACAGCTCCTGTCATCCAGTGACACAAAAGCAAAGAGATTTGTTAGTTAAAGATAACCGAGGAAGAAAAAAATGATTGTCTTACAAGCTATTATCAACTGGTCATAATATATCTTTTTGCCAATTTTGTAGGGTGGCATTTAGTATCTTCAACCAGAGAGCTTTAATGCCCTCCAAAACTACAGACTGCAGGATTCCATAGGAAGGTGCCATGGCTGTTAAAGTGGAACCATAATGCTATTAACTGTGGTTATATCCAAAGTGCAGAAATAATGCAGTTTGGCACTGCTTTAGCTGCCATGGCTCAACATTACGGAATTCTGGAATTTGTAGTTTGTTGTAGCACCAGAGATCTTTGACAGAGAAGGGTAA